CCCCATAAATCCTTGAATAATTTTATGGTCCGTATCTGGTTGTTCTTTTTGCTTTCACACTGATCAAGAAACCTAATTTTTTTATTTTTGTTGCCATAAACACTCACTAGGAGCTGTAAGTCTATACAATGAAAAAGTCAAAGCTCTCACGTTTGATTAAGGTGAGGTGAAAAGTAATGATGATTGTTAGGGAAAAAAAAAATCAGCACAAACAATATCCTCGTGCATAAGATGATGCAGTTTTACAATAGCTTTGAACCTTCTATTGCAGCAATTCCTACAACTACTACTGAATCATAGATTGAAACTAATTTGTCTCTTTAGATAGATATCTATTTGCATACACACACAAAATGCCAAAAATAGTACTACTGCATTTATTTTAAAAGCATCTCATTCAAAGCAATTGCAGCTGAATCATAACTACATCACCTCAGATTCTTTTTTTTGAGGGTGGTGTGCTAACAAAAATAAATTATCTAAGCACCACAAACTGCAGCATTCAAATACATAAATTCTTACTCATCTAAATGTAGTAATTTTCAAATAATGTTATACATTTTAATACTGAAAACTGTGATGCTTAGTGAATTTTACATTTTCCAAAGCACAAAGTAATAGGAAAGAATCTGTTGGAATGAGAAGTTAAGGGAACAAAGTAATATTGTCTAGAGACTTGACTAAACAACAAGTGGGATATCGTATTCTGTCTCCTCCAATCACTTATTCTCTAACAAGACATGAAAGTCAGTGGAAACATTTCAGAGATTACAGTGCTGCTGGCCACGGAGCTACTGTACTCTACATTAGTTAGCACTGTATTTAATTGATTCCAAACCTTGCCACACATATTCAGTTTACCCATACTTTCTTAAGTCTCAAAACTAGACCTAGGAGTTGCTCTGAGAGCTTTCCTACAAAATTAGGATTAACAATTTTTGTGTTTGCAATGCAGCAGGAAAAATCTCCATGTTTGCACATTTATTTTTGCATACAGTAACATTCATGTACTAATTTGTGATTGACGAGAGAAATATAAAGTTTCTCAAAGTTGAGACAGAAATAAAGATCTTTACAGGATTATGTAATATAAAAGGTTCTTATTCAGTGAATTAACACCCCATAAAGTATATGAAAAGTAACACAAATGAATCTGTGTATGTCTGGTTATTTTATTTGTAGCAAGCAAAGGATTCACAGAAAGCAAAAGAAAATAACCTGTCAGCAAATATTAAGTCAAATCTCAAAAATACCAAATAAAGGGGTGAAAGAACAGATATGTTTTTTATGCACCTAAGGGTTTGACTAATTAGTTGTGGTTTGTTTTTGTTTTTTTTTCTCCTTCCATTAAATTTATTTTTTTCTGAGTAGATCTTACCCATAGAATAGTTAGTAGTTGACAGAGGCTGCAGTGGCATTAAGTATCAACAGTTGAGTAGTTCTCTGAGCAGGTACCTAACTAACAGTGTTACACAAGTTATATCTCTGTTGTACGATCTAGTATGTATATTCTAGATTGTTCTCACTATTTTTTATAGCTGAATTGATTTGTTGGAAAACAGGGTTTTTTTCCTCTTTTGAATTCTCCAGGTTATGCTTCACTGAGAATCATAATCCTATGCATGCTTCTTATTTCATTTCATGAACAGAATTATATAATTAGATAAGAAAATACACAACAATAATCTGAATTCTTAGTAGCAGAATAGTACAAGAACTGAAAAAAATAAGTAAACCAATTTCTGATTACTAATTAAACCAAATTTTCAAAGAACACCTAACTGTAGCCCAGATCTCCACTTACTAATTACTATTATACTAATAAGGTTACTTCTACACACATTGCTTCAAATAAAACAGAATAGTGATAATTAAAGCCACAAGAAAGTTAACAGCTCTCTCAAGTGCAACTCTCATGATGATAACTTACAGATGACTGAAAAGCTGTTCATATAATTAGATAGGTATTTACATTCTACCAGGACCTACCTACTAGCTGAAAGACATTTTCCTTTACTTGAAAACATAACCATTAAATGCAGCATCTGAAGATAAAACATTTTGCTTGATGACCTCCAAGATTACAACAAAGCAATCACACTTACAACTGCTTTAATTCAATACATGATTATTCAAAGAGGACTGTGAAAGTAACAAAACACATTCTTTCAGCACTGTGCTAAATTTCAAGCCCCACTGATAAAGTCTACAGCTGCCTGCAAATACGATCTTTACGTTCTTTCAGAGACAGAGCTCAGAGAATGATTGCCATGCTTCAGTACTTTTGTCACAGGATAGATGTTTCAACAGCCCAACCAAACCCTTTCAAACAGGCTACAAGCAAATATTTGAACTGCCTGACAGAAAGAAGCAATTGCATAAGATAAATGTCTTATGAAATATGTCAGCCTATTTGCTCTAAAAGTTGTAAGACTCATTTTGAGGAACAACGGCTGTAAGGAATCACTCTCATTCATCTGTTTGCTATACAAACTAGGTTCCAGGACAACAGTAAGTATACTAGATACTACCATAGTACTATTTCTTAATACTGTTAATAACAAAACAGAATAAGAAGCAAGGCTTACAGTCTGACTTTCAGGAAAGTCCATCTTCAGCAATTTGTGAGCACATTCTTCAAAGTCTAAGCTGCCATAATAGAAAAAAATATTTCTCATTATCTGTGCAATATACACTATACTAAGCATTTCAGGATTAAGACTGTTGGTACTGAAACTTCAACTGTTCTGAAATAAACATTCAAAAAGCTGTTTGTTTTGCTGGGTTTTTTGTGGTTGTGGTTTTTTAATAAACATTTTGTATTTCATGAGTTTTGTATCTGAAAATTAATCTAAAGTTATTACATTTGTAATCTGAAAACAAGATGACTTGGATAATTATTTCTATTACATCATCTTACAAAACTTAGAAAAACACAACCACATGAGCTCATTTTGCACATCCTGAATAACACTGAAAAGCAAGTACCGTACATAAGCTCCAAAAGTGCACATTCCACACTCTCCTCTTTGCGTTCCCCTTCTTGCATATTGAAAGCCTTTAGCTACCAGTAAGTACCTCCCCCACCCAAGTATAAGATGAACAAACTTAAGTATGGCAAGAAAGTACTGAACAGTAACTTTGAGAAATACAACAGCCTTTCATACATCTCAGTACAGTATTAATTCATACATCTAATGATCAATACCACAACTACATTATCTCACTCCTCATGCAGGTTCAAACCTGCAGAATATCGTGGGCCATGCCTACTTACAACAATGGAATCGAGCAGCATGCAACAGTTTAATGTCTCCTTTCACCCGGAGAACACAGGCATTACACCACCATGTTTGGATTATTTGTGCCATGCACTGCAAGAGGATTTCATTCTTGAGTTGAATACAAGTACAGTACACTTCAGGCCTGGTGTCTGTATACTGATTTTCCACACAATGCAGATGGAAACAGGCCTGAAGAGTACCACACTGCAGAACTCTCTATTCTCAGAAGTGGAGGAACTCCACAGCATCTCTACTTTAAGAGTGTCACAGGTTTTTGGTTTTGTTTTTGGTTTATTTTTTTTTTTTTAAGAAATTCTTAAAATGCTGTATAATCTGAAGACCACTGACTTTTATTTTGATGACAGCAATCCTTGTAGAAAAGTCCCAGTGCACTACTCAAACATTTTGAAACAAACAGGATTTATTTTAGAATGGTAATTTACATACTCATTTGTCAAAACAGTCTGCTTTATACAGTTAGTTCAGGCTCCATAAAGAAAACTTCCCTGCCTGTTTTTATTTTTTTTTTAAATTGTACACTAAAAAAAGGAATTTAAGAAGAAAGAATTCCAGTTTACCCATTTCAAAAGAACTACATTCATAGGTGCACAAATTATATTATATTTACCTTGACTGAATAGCAAGATAAATTGTACGACGGAAGGAGACCAGGTTAATTTCTGTTTTGTCATGGACAGTAACTTTCTGACCTAGGAAACAAAAACATGGTTTTGCAAAGACCAAAACGTTAAGGCAGATACATGTAATCTCTTAGAACAGCTCTATTTACTAAGTCTGTAGCACGCTACATAATACTTCTATAAATATTTAGGATGTTTAGCAGGTTTACATATTTTTTTTATTTTCAGTATTTACAGAAAAGGAAAAAAAATAGTATTTGCCTCATCTGTAACTAACAGGTAAATATTTAGAGATACAGTTTTAAAAGGATAACTCTCCTCTTAAAGGCCTTTCATGTGACTTCAGCACTGCAGCTTCTGGTTTTAACACTTCTTGTCTCCATTGCCAGCAAGGTATTTTCTGCATAATTTAACTACACAATGCTTTATGTAGCCTCCTTGATTTTAACAGAATTTCTTTGTTTCCGATATGTGTAGGATCTACATTACAACATTCTGCAAAGTCCTGTTTTGTCCTGGAGCAAGTGTACAAAAATGCATTCCAAACCACATCCATCCTGGGAACACCTTAATTCATACGGTATTTGCTATTCCTTCATTCTTTTAAACTTTGGTAATGGCATAAATGATGAAAAGTTATGTGATTCTGACACTTTTCATCAGCCTGGAAGCTCTGCCCTTCTGTGAAATACTCCAGCAAACTGGTAAGGAAATCCATTCCTGGCATTCTACAAGAACAGGACTTGGCTGGCTTTTCAATTACTCACACAGTCTGCACAAACATTTCAGTTATGCTTACCCATTTTTTTTTTTTCCTGAGAACCAAATACATTATTTCAAAATGTGTAAACACCGACTGCTTCCACTAAAAATCAAGAAAGAAGGCTGAACCAACTAAGAAGTGAGATATAGAGGATGTAAATAGTTAGGAGAAAACCCATTCTGATTTTGCAAGAGACTTAAAAATACGACAGAGCACAAGAAAGGGTCCAAAAAGGTTGTCTTTGCTATTTTTGAAGGAAGTTTTCATGTTCATTATTTTCATTGTCTCATGTTTGCAAGGCGTTTCTCACATGAAACTGATATGGTCAAAAACAACCAGGCAAAGCTACTTTTCATCTTCTGCCTGTGCTGAATGCTTCCTTTTAGACCATTATTTTTATACCATTTGCCAGTAAACACTTAGATCTGAGAATTTGTTTCACAACTTGTGTAACAAGTTAAGCTTTTCTTTCCTTTTTCATCTACAACCAATCACTAGTAAGGTACCAATCATACACTTACCATCTTCATCCTCCTCTTCATCATCTTCATCTTCCTCACTACTTCCAGCCTCTTGATCTGCTTCAGATTCACTATCACCTTCATCAAGGATTTCTGAAAGAGCAGTATCCCAGATTAAAGGAATATATAGTTTCCCTACCAAAAAAACTCGATCCAACACTTAAGAGTGAAAGGGTGTCTCAGGTGAGGAATGTGGCAGAGTGAAAAAAGATGTCAGAACCGAATGAAAACATAGCTGGAGAAACAACCCTGAAGAAAATAGCAGGAATACATTGGAAAGATCTACGATTAACTGAAAGAGTTATCTGGAACACAAAAATCACCCACTTTTCAATAAAAAAGTGGGTAACAATAGTTGGATAAGTAAACACCCTATAAATAAGTATGTAAATATAGAAATATTATACATAAAGTGTGTGCACACACCTCCCTACCTTTCTTCAGCATTTTGTATTTCTCTTCATTTTCCATAAAGTTTGGATCCATCTTGAAAACATCTTTAAAATAAAAGAGAATCTTTATTTAAAACACAAACTGAAGAAAACAATGAGCATTTAATGTTAAATTTGTTTTCATGAGGAATGTAGTCATAGAATTATCTTCCTTTCCTAACTTACTAAGGACATCCTCCGGGTTGTAGTCATCTTCTAATGGCAACATATGAGTAAACTGATCCTCTTCTTCCACTAGATCTAATCCCTCTGGAATAATTGGATGATCCTTGAAGCCATCCTTCCGTACAGCAAACATGACTTCTATCATATACTGAACACGCATATCAATTTTAGATTCATGCAGAATGTGTCGAAGACGGTCAAAGATTGCTTTGGAAAAAGACAGAAATGTAAATATGAAAAGGATTTGCTAATACAAACATTCAAAAGACAAATGTTCTGGCTAATTATACTTACCATTAATACCTCTAGGAGAAACTTCGGTTAATTTGAGCCCACTCTCTTTAATGAATCCAATTGCTACTTCAATACTGTCATCAGTAGGTCTTTCAAGCAGCAAAGTGAGCATTTCCAAACATAAAACCTCATGAGCCTATGGAAAGAATATCAGTTAAGAATTAGAACATACAACGTTAAGCTCTTATTGCAATGATTTATTTGTTAGAGCTTTTGAGGATGCCACAATACACTTGTTTCCTCACACATGCAAGGCAAAAGTAGTGGGACAAAGCTAATTAAGAGGAAGTAAGAATTTGAATGCAATTTTACCACCTGTATTTACACCAACTTTGTAGTGAATGTGACTATGCTATTGAAATGAACAAGCAAATGATGAAAAAGATTCTGTCATTAAGAAAAAATAGAATGCATTTCCAAAACCCAAATAAAACAGCAATTACATTACAGAAACTATTTGTAAGTGCATTGTGTCTATAATTAAATCAGGTCTTCCAGGACCAGGCATATAAGCAAATGGCACATCTCAGATTAGCTTCTTCTTTATTAAAATGTTGTATATTCCAAATGCACTCCTGAAACACTACTTCTTTCCATTATTTAAATTGGAATATCCCAATTTCTAACACATTAAAGAATAGTATAGAGCTGGATACAAACTTGATTTAGATGCAACTGAGTCTAGTTCTGCCTACACAGCTGTTTAAGTCAGGTAACAGTGTTGTAAGAAAACTCTGTTTAAGATCTGTGGGACAGAGCATTGGATGATGCTTGTTTTTGCATCAAGATTTGTCTGAATAGCAGTCCAAATATATTTACAAAGCTTGGGGAAGCTTTGGAGCATAAGTGCAATGGTAAATTATGATAACTGCATACACAATTACTAGTGTGTTTTTCTAAAAAGGTCCTAACAACTTACAGAAGGCATTAAAAGGAAACCTGAACTCAGATATTCAGTAACCTTTAGAACAGGGAAAGCATCTTCACTTAGGCTACTGCTGTCTTGAAACAAAGAAATAGCCATATAGGGTTTGGACTGAGTAGAAACATGAAGTAACATACCACATTCTGATTCATCAAATGTGCAACAAATTTTGAAGATGTTAGACAGAGTTGCTGCAAAAGAAATAAAATAGGAAATCTCAACATATCGTATATGGAAGGAAAAAACGTGTAACTCAGACATACTTACTATAAATTTGTGCATTTCACAATCAAATTAACTCATGAAACTAACTATTTTGGGATACTGATACTGTTCACAATTAGGACTGTACACTTTAAAAAAAAGCCACACACACAAAAGAAACACTATCACATAGCAACCCAGAATAGGTTGCCAAGCTTTCATGATACTCTTACCACTGCTATACTTAATGCACTAATGATAGGTCCCGACCCGCAGACCTTGTCTGTGTTCCTTTGAAGAATATAATCTGAACACACTTGATACAGCAGAATTACAAGTTTCAGCATGTTGCTCCTTCACATTTTACATACCTTATCATTTCTGCGATATCCTTTGCGAAAATTTAGTATCAACCTCTTGAGAATCAATTCACCAATATTTGGAAACTTTGAATTGATAATTGCCACAAGGGCTGCATAAACATGGGTGAAAATTGGAGAGGCACTCTGAGCTTGCAAAATGGATCTAGATAGCAATCCCCTGTAAAAACATGTAAATGTGAGATTTTTCTGGTAATAAAACATTTACTGTTTTTATTCAGTATGTACCACATAAAATAGTATTGCATAGTTGGAATAGTTAGAAGGTACCAGATGGCCATTTTCAAACCGTTGTTCATCATGCCACAAACGGGAGTTCTGCAAAATGTGTTGCCCAAATGTGTCTGAGCTGAGAAACTCTTAAACTGGTATCTCTCATTAAATATTGTTCCTATTAGAACTACATTTGAAAATTATAAGCATGTCAAGTCTTCATCTGTCAAGTCTTCATCTTGTATCCTGCAATTACCTTTTTTTTAACCTCAGCACAGGCTCTTCTTAGCTTTGAAATTTGTATGACTGTGCGTTTTTTTTATCCTCAGTTGAAAAAAAAAAAATCCTGCTTGTGACAGAAAAACATCTGCTCTGCAACTATTTATGAAAAACACAGACCTGTGTTCCAGTATAATGAAGATTTAAATGAGCAAAACAAACATTTAAGAAATAAAAATTATATTTCCATAAAAGGCATCTAACAATAAAGATCTACCTAGGAGTAATAAAACTGAATGTTCAGTAAAACTCGAATGGGCAACACTTTTCTCAAATGAAACTGCGTATTTTCAACATAATAATTATGTTTTGGAACTGAGAACTGGTAGTAAAAGACTACTACTTAGAGTCTAAATGAATATAAATACAGGGCTCTTGAGATAATAATTCTTTTATTATACTAACGATCCCTCTTACATTTATATCAACTAAATTCGGAAAAGAATCTCAGATTTTCTTCCCCTCAGTTTTGCTTTTTCTAACGCTTTATCACAAAGAATTTGACTTTTGTTGTATTATTCCATTACAAATGGGTAAGGAGGAGGAGAAAAAAAAAGTGCCCTCCAAATGTGAATCTCTGAAGTGCACGCTGGTATCCAACTCTTATCTTCTCTGTGGCCTGTCGAAATTTTCATGCTTTATCACACTGAATTTGACTTTTGTTGTATTACTCCATTACAAATGGGTAAGGAGGAAGAGAAAAAAAAAAGTGCCCTCCAAATGTGAATCTCCGAAGTGCACGCTGGTATCCAACCCTTATCTTCTCTGTGGCCTGTCGAAATTTTCAAAAGAGCCTTCTGCATGGTACTAAATGCAAACTGCATAAGGACTGGATTCCTACTTACTTTGGAGTTGACAAATAGAAAATTACTCATTTCATACTACTGCACAGAAATAGAGAACTTAATTTTGAAACTATTAGTCACCTCTCATTTACTAACTGAAACTAGTCTGGTTCAGATCCTATTTATCCTCTACTTACAAAATTCAGAAAAGCACTTTACAGCTAGATAAAGCTTCATGTCGTTACTTTTATATGCACCTTTATGCAAATTTAGAAGTAAAAATTAACTGTAAGAAGGGGAACAGTGTCATTTTACACCTACATTATTTTGTCACAAACAAAAACTTCAGGACAAGCTTCTTCTAAAAACATTAAATAAGCTCATTTTAAAACTAAAATATTACTGCTTGTATGAAAATTAAGTTTCAGGGACATGAAAAGCAGGCAAGAAAAAAAAAAAACAGTTTTACAACAGAGTCCTGAAATAACAGTGACGAAGTTATGATAAACATTTTTGCTATCTATTTGAAATGTAACAGAATTACTTCTAGATATTTTGTTCAGAGGGTTTTGCTGTTGGTGGTGGTTTGGTTTTGTTTGTTTAAATGGTAGCCAACCTAAGAAACCCATGCTCCTTTAGACTAGCATATTTAATGTCTCTTGACATCAAAATTAAAGCAAGGAAAGTCGTCACACAGTACTTGCACAGTACTGTGACTTTGTACTGAGCTCAAACAGCATTATAATATTCTCTTCACATCACAACAATAAACAATCCTGCCAGATAACTGCAGTAAGACTTGTTTTGCTAAATACTGACTATAAATATTATTTGTCCCACAGAATAAAAACAGGAATACAAAAGTAAATAGACAGATACACTTGTAAATTGCAAGTCATTCAAGTAAAACATGTAGGTAAAACCTTTAAGAAAAGGAAATATATATACTATCTGTTGCACTCTTATTCCTTGAAGCATACAATCCCTTCCCCAAGTAGGGGGACTACTCTGCATAGGACAACATAGCCTAAGGTTAATTTTAAAATCTGACTAGCACCCATACACTACCCATAAAACACAGTGAAGTACACATGAACAGTATACATATTAGCATAAAAGCAAAAGAGTTGTTTTAAAATACTAAGACTTACCTTCCACGAACAATATTTTCCTGAAGGAGCTCATGAATGATATTTTCTATATTAGAAACATTCACTTTATTGACAAGACCATTGATCGACTTCTTCAAGGCTTCCCAACTCATCCTCTGATATGCCAAGCTATTACAAAAGTATCACAAATTATTAATGCATAAATTTGAGGTAGCACCTAGTGACTTTTATATATATATATATACACACACACACATATACATGAGATATAGATATAGATATATATATGAAAACATGAATGTAAGTTGTAATCAGTGAAATAGACAAGAAAACATCCACTGCATGAAGACCTGCTCACGCATGTAACTACTAGGAAATCACTGAACCAACATGATACACCAAAATGTAATTCTCCACCGCTATGGTATCACTCAGTATGTCCAGTTTTCTAAGATATTTTTTAAAAATCCCTGCTTACGTTCTGTATCCCACTTTTCCATTTACACCTTGCAGTAGAGGCAAGTACAGTCATAACCCGATTCTCTTACCTTTCTTCTGATAAAAATATACCTTCAAAAGAACTATCACAGCCCTCAAAAGGTATCCCATTTTCACCAACACTCACCGAAACCCTTTACTGTTTTGCTTTTCAGTAAAGATTCCAATATGTTACTTTCAACTCACCTATTTTTATCAGTGATTTGCTCTTGCATCATCCTGAGCTTGGCAGGTGGAATATATGCACCACCTGTGCGAGTAAGGATTGGATCCACTTCTTCTTTCTTCTTCTTCGGAGTGGTCTCATCCTGAGCAAGTGAGCTCTGGCCTGTTGACCTCTCTGGACTCCTACGATCAGGTGATGAGTATCTTCTCTGCTTCCTTCGATCAGATTCTCTCTCCTCCCATTTTTCATGGTATCTTTCTCTCCCCCTTTCCATCCTTCTAAAAAAAAACAAAAAACAAACCAAACACAAAAACCAGACTATGAAACACTCAATGGCTCGTGAAAAGTTTTCATGTGTTATTCTTTTAAATGAGTATTTTATTACTGATTAAGAAAGGGCTTGATACCTTCCTTCTGAAGTTCTGTCATCATAATATTCCCTTCTTGAATATTCCTGATCGTATCTGCTGTCATCAGAGTGTCTTCTCTTTCTGGGAGATGGAGACCTGTCACGCTCTATATCCCTATTTGCAACAAAAGACACAAAATTCTTAGTTAGGCTTAGAAAAGCAATGCTATTAATATCTACTTTCAATACAACGTTACAATACAGAACTGTTCCACTTCTGCAACCTGAGTTTCAATATGTGCATCATTCAATTAAAAGATGCTCCTTTTATAATAATTTGTTGTCAGCAAAAAATAATAATAAAAAACCAAACCAAAATCAAAGCAGCATTGTAAAAGCAAGCTTCTAGAACTTAAAATGGAATGCTAAATGGTAACAACATCAAATACCAAAGGAAAATTTAACCATGCATTCCTTGGAACACATGCATTCATTTGTTCCATCCACTTTTGCCTGCATAGCAGGAAACAGAATAGACACTACTAGAAAAAAAATGATAGCGTGTTCAGTACAAGAGGTTTCATTGCAATTAAAATGTGAAATTAGAAGTAAACTGGTAACAGTTCATCTCATGCCTTGGCAGGCTGAACTTCAAATGATAATACTCCATCTCCTGCTGGCATCAGTAATCTTGCTCTAAAGTGACAATTCTGGTATTAGCAATACACCAGTCCAAGCAAAAAGCTGGCATTTAATTTCCATTTTCAAGTCCCATGACAATTTAACTGAATGCTAAGGATTTTTTTAAGATTTAATTTTAATAACACGCCTACTTAGTTACTGCTATACTGACATGCAAGTATTATATTAAATCTACATTTATTTTTGTAGGGTAGAAGAATCAATCATTCTACCTGTCCTCTGGAGACAAACTTCTTTGGCGTGAACTGTAGTTTTCCTTCCTTTCATAACTGGAACCATGCTTTAAAAAAACAGAAAGAAAAAAATCCAGCCTCAACATTACATATTAATTACTGTGAGCACATGTATCTTGAGATCAAAGCATACCATGTCTTCAATTCCCTACTCCCTTACAAGAAGTAAGGGCCTTCAAACAAAGCTAATTGCAGTCAGTTTTGTCAAGGAGAGCTGGTTCTAAATAAAAGTAGTTAAGCAGCTGGACTCCCTGCTACAGGATGCTGCAGATGCCAGGTGCTTACACAGGCTGAAGAGACTAGACAACAATGAAGAAAAATTCACATGGGTTACAAAAAAAATTATCTGGCTTAGGAAGCCACACACAGAGAGAGACTGGGAGAGTATGTGGGCAAGTACCTTTACGGTTGCCCCAAGGCAAACTTTTCAAGCCATCTGCTGTTGATTATTGCTGGAGACTGGGGTAGATCTGACTTTACTGCTTCCTTCTTCTACACGCCATTTTACACTTTGCTGTATCACATGCAATACCATTAAGAATTCTACCATGTCTTGTTTGAAAAGTGTCTTCCTCTCCTAAAGATCCCCTTTATTGCATAATTCCTCCTCACCTTCCTCCTTTTTACTAACCATGACTTATTTTCTCTTGAGTCATTCCTAGCTTCATACATTACAATCTCAGTTACACTTTCCACTTGACAGATCCTGTAAGTAAATTAAATTCTAGATTTTTTTTTTTTAAATCTAAGTTTGCAGGAATGTTTAAGTGATCCATACTTAATAGTTCACAGCAAATTCTGTAGCAGAATGGAGAGGAAGTATGGAGTCACACACAAAAACCAGAGCATGACAGCATCTACAACACACAAAGACATTCACCTCAAAACTACCTTGGTACAGCTAAGAAGCAGCTTTTATTGTAAGGGTCCTCTCTTCCCTTAAAATACTATTTATGATTTTTCAAAACCACAAGCTCGCATTATCAGCCAGAAGCTGTGACTTCTTCACCTCAATGCAAGGACTTCCTGCTGCACCTTGACTGAACTTTTTGCAGGAACACTCATCTCATTTGTTGAAGTGGCTTTCTATCCATTAATACGGTAGCACGCTAGATTTTGCTCCACCAAAGAACCAGTTAAAAACTATTGTTTGGAAGAATACAACTACACTGCCTTCATAAGCAGACCCTGAAGCGCAGTTATACCAAGTGACCTCCAAAAACTTAATTAGAAAGAAAAGTATCTTTACTTAATGTCAAGAGTGGTGTTTATAATGAGCTGTGCAAGTATAACCAACATTAACTGAGGCTTCCTAAAGAAATACAAAGATTATGAGCATTATCCTAACAGCAGACCAAAGAGGCTGACTTGTTATCACTCAAATTGAAGGGTGTGTATATGCATGTAAATATAAATACCTATATTTTGAGATTATATATAGATTATTGTAACATATCCTAGAATGTGGCCTTCCCTAGGATACATTTCTAACGCTTTGTTAAAATTATTCCCAGTATTATATTGACTGAACCAAGACAATGGCACAAAACAAATGCATACTCCCAGTAAATGACACAATACATCTCTACAAAAGTAACATCCATCTGACAACTTAATTCCAGAGTAACATTATCTTTGGTGGCAAAGCTAGTACAAGAAATTAACGTGTTTTCAACAAGGTTTTCTTCTCCTTTCAGTACTCATTTGTGGGACTGCACCACACAGCAGATCACTGAAATCATTCCGAGGTTAAAAGAAGTCCTGAAGTTGTTGGGTTTTTCACCAAATAATATAACACAAGATTGTACACTAAGCTTCCAAGAAAGCGATAATGAAAACGTTGGAAAAACACAGAGCAATTAGTGTATTTAAATAATATTTAGCAGATGGGAAGAAGTGGGTCTTTTTAGGATGATCCATTCTCACAAGTTCTACGTTATCTGCCTTTGCCCAAGCAGACACAAAAAGACAAGCCTTCACAGAAATAAAATGATGCTGTGGATGTCTCTGTACTTGGCAGTTTTCATGTCTCCTTGCAAAAGTAGCTATGTTTGTTGAAGAACTCGTCACCCTCAGCTCTTTGCAACCACAAGTTGCTTTCTGCCACAAGTTACAGTCGTCTTCCTTGTCCATTTTGATGAAAATTATTAACTGAAAGTGTCCAAACAGTGTGCTTTTGCTAACTGACTAATGTGGACAGATGAGGGAGCACTACCATAACCACCAGACTGAGAAGGTATCAAATCATCCCTCAAGCATCCCTATTAAAAGTCGCTTCAGTCAGAGAAGTTGGAACCAAAAGAGTGAAAAAGCCCATGCAGGGTCAAACTCTAGAAATATAAGCAGAGAAACACCCTGTCTTAAGTCTATGGTACCAGAAGAGTATTGCTCCACTATCCTGTCGCAAATTTAGCGTACTTTACAAACGTGGCATTTCTAAACCACCATTTTAAGGGAGTAATTTTAAAGGAAATTTTTTCTTCTTGCATTCCTAAAAACCACTCTGATCCATTTAGAAGTGTACAACAGCTTTTAAAAGGGAAAGTTTTAACTTTCACAGGGAGAAATACAGCTGCCACATTAACTGCTACTTTCTGGCTCTTTATCTTTTCATTGTAACGTAACTGTTTTCAACACCTCTTCTCTTCATTCCTCCACATGCTTATGTTCTCTGTTGAGCCATCATTCAGTCACTTTTCAACAATTACTTCATCATTATATGCTAATCATCATTCAGTCAACAATTACTTCATCATTATATGACAATAATGTTTCAACATTATTTTGAACAATTACTTTTCAACAATTTTCATCATTTTCAACAATTACTTCATCATTATATGCTAATAATAACTTCCACTGTCAGGACAAAAGCACTAGAAACAGCTGTAATTCACTGACTTCATAGGTTCAGAACTTCCACTGTCAGGACAAAAAGCGCTAGAAACAGCTGTAATTCACTGACTTCATAGTACTATTTCTATTGTAAACAGTTGCTGTCAATTACAGATACTGTTTGCTTTACATTCTGGGAGTTTTACTTAACAAAACATCAACTATAAACATATTCACCAGTAACAAGGGAATACTCAAACCTTACAATTCAGGTTTAAGAACACTTACATTCACTTGTGTCACCCTGCTCTTCATCTTGACTTCTTATTTTTTATGAAGTTCTGAACGCAGAGCAATGAGACAATCCAAGACACAGTTCAGTGTATGGAAAACATTTCATCTGCACACAGAGAAAACAATCAAAAACTTTCTACGGCACACGGTGCAGGAACCTGTGCTTCTAATTTGTTCTTTATGCTTGCATAGCACCGCAAAACAAAGCAAAGTGCCTCTGCCCTCAACCCGACCCGGTC